GATGGGTGTGTCGGAGGCAGTGCGGTTGGCGCAGGATAGAGCAGGGTTGAGGGCTGTTGTGCATAGGGTCGCTATGAGTCGAAAATGACTCGACGGCACATAACAACAACAACATTGTTAATATCACAATCAAGCTACATCTTGCTGAAGATTGTTTAAAAAAAAAGCTGAACAGTATTGGAGAACTACCGGAAATCTAAGCTTGTCTTAGAAGAGGCAGTGGCACCACACATATCATTGCTATTGTCAAATGGCTCTTGGCTGAGGTATAGAATACTAGAAGGATGTCTCTTTGTGTTTTGTTGACTATGCAAAAACATTTGTGTGGATCACAGCAAATTATGGCTAACATTGCGAAAAGTGGAATCTCAGAACACTTAAATGTTCTCATGTAAAACTTATATCTAGACCCAAGAGGCTGTTTTGTGAACAGAGCAAGGGAATGCTGTGTAAATCAAGAAAAATGTGTGTCAGGGCTGTATCTTTTCTTGATACCTGTTCAATCTGAATGCTAAACAAATAATTTGAGGAACTGGATTTCAGAAAGAATGTGAAATTGGAGACTCATTAACGCCTTCACCATGTAGATGACTGAAGTGAGCTTGCTGCAGAAGATAAGAGCTACAGCCTTCAATATTCATTATATCTTAATATGAAAACAAGTCCTCACCACCAAGCCATTAGGCAGCGTTATGATAGATAGGGAAGAGATTGAAGTTGTCAGCGATTTCATCTTGCTTGGATCCCCAGTCAGCAGTCAAGAAATTGAAAGATGAATTATATTTGGGAAGTCTGCTGTCAGGGACCTCTCCAGAATACTAAAGAACAGTGATGTCACTTTGAAGACTTAACGTGGGCCCGATCCAAGCCATAGTCTTCTCAGTGACTCACTATATGTTGATGAAGGAAGATAGCATAATAATCAATGCCTTAGAGTTATGGTGTTGAAGAACACTGTAATCTCCTATGGACTGCCAAGAGAACAAGTAGGTCTGTCCTGGAGAAGGCAACAAGGAGGCAAGGATGGTAAAATTCTGTCTCACATACTTTGTACATGTTATAAGGAGGAACCAGTCCTTGAGTGAGGACATTATGCTTAGGAAGGTGGAGGATTGACACAGCGACTGACTGTAACTGGGCTCAAGTATATCAGAGATGGAGAAGATGGCACAGAATAAGGCAGGGTTCAGATCTCTTGTTCAAGGATGCTGTGAGTTCTAGGTCACATAACAACAACAGGTAGCCTCGTGATAAGAGGTTGTGCTACCAAACCGAATTCATGTGGTTCAGATCCACCAGCTGGTCTTGAAAGAAAGATGGGTGTCTCCTGCAGTGCAGTTTACAGCCTCTGAAAACCTGCCAGAGGGTCAGCTTATAAATTGGTTCTGATTTGAAGCACGTAACATAAAAACAATAGGCGATAAAGAAGTAGCAGTAATTAGTTGCTTTTGTTAGATGCTGTCAAGTAGACCCTCTCTCAGTCACCCTGTGGTGCAGTAGATCAAAGCCTTGCATAATCCTGTGCCATACTCACAGTTTCCACAGTGGGTGAGCTCATTGTTGCGGTTACTTGTGTCATTCCACCTCTTGAGAGTCATCTTTCTCTGACCCTCTGCCTTTCCAAGCTCCGTGCTGTCTTTCAAAGACTGGTACTCCTAACTACGTAAGCCTTAAAGTCTTTGATTCTAAGGTGTGCTGGCTACACCTCTTCCAAGACAGATTTACTGTTCTTTTGACAGTCTACTTTATTTATGTTCAGTACTCTTCACCAGCACCACAGTTCAAAACCTCTTACTCTTCCTTTGTCTTCCTTATACACTATCCAATTTTCAAGTGCTTGTGAAACAATTGAAAGTAATCATGGCTTGGCTTGGCACACCTTAGTCTCTAAACTTCTTATTTAGCCGTTTAAAAAGATCCTTGATAGATTTGCCCAATGCAGTTGTTGAGATGAGTTGGGGTTCTACATTTTAAATAGCATTTCATCCTGCCCTCCTTTTTTCCACACTGATTTTAATATCACTTCTATTTCTGAAAGTACCACAGAAACCTGAGTCTTTTGGTGTGGTCTGTAGTTTGATCTAGGTTGCCTCTTTCTTTTTTCATAGCTTGCCTAGTATGTGGCTTCATAAGCTAGTCAATTAGTATTGCTTTTTTTTGCTTTCCAGCCTTTAAAATTTACTTCTTGTTATCTCCTCTCCTTTTATTTAGGTGAATTTAAATCATTCCTTCATAGTGTATTGGGATTTTCAGAGCCATAAAGCAAATACTTATATAGTGTTTCATTAAATATTTTATTAGTTCATTTATCAGTGAACCTGAATCAGCTATAATGTAAGTTATCTGGGTCATCATAGTGACTTCTTTTCATCTTGTTTTGCTAGTATTTGAAAATCTGATTTACTTTGAGTCCTTCCAAGAAATAAATGATACAGTAGTTAAATAGATGACATTGAATGGATGAACTCATGACTGTCTCATGTATTACAGAACTGTTACTTTTTTTTCTTAAGCTACAGTTTGCATGAGCCAGATCACATTAGGAGATCCTATACTTTATTTCTGTTGCTTCAGTAAATACTCTGTGTCAGGAAGGCAGAGAATATTTCATTTTGTCTTCAGTACATTATCTAGGTATGGGCTTGAGACTTGCCTCTTAATTATCATATTTGGGAGATCGTAACCATCAGTTCTGCTGGAGAAAGATGGGCAGTCTCATACCATGAAGTTTCTTATTGCTGTTACTACTCGCAGTCAAGTTGATTATGAGTTGTAACTACTTTATTAACAACAGAACCTTGCCTTTGAAGTTTGTTGTTGCTGTTTGTTACTTGTGGTCAAGTTGACTATGAGTCATAACAACCTTATGAACAGAACCTTGCCCTATCCTTTGCTATTCTTATACTCTTCAGCATGCTGAACTTATTGTTACAGCCTTGAAAACTTGCTAAGGGTCAAGCTGTGAGTCCGTTCAGGTTAGTTACAATGAGTTTGAGTTCGAAAAACCTCTAAACATTATTAAAGGATGTAGGATATCCAGAACTCACTCACTCACTCTGTTATCAATTCTGACTCATAGTGACCCGAGGTTCCAAAGCTGTAGATTTTAATAGGACAGTTGCATTTTACCATTTAATTTTTGCCATGTTTTCTCATCATAGTAGCTTTGTATATTTTAGCTTTTGGACTTCCTGTATATAATGGACCCCATTTTAGCACTATTAACTCCCAAGTCTTAATCTGAGAGAATAAAGTCCTTCCACTCTGTTGAGTAATGAGTTCCATTTTTTTGCTTTTCTCTTTCCATTATGGTAGAAGAAATGTTCATTTCTTTATACCCCCTTTCTGGGGGGTATGTGGCCTTAGAGTAAAGGCCCCATAACAAATGTAGTGGGATAAAACCATTGCTTTGTTAAACTGTGTCTCTCAAATACAGCACTTTTCCCCACCCTACTGTGTCAAACGTATTTAGTGCTTGTTTTTGGTAGGGAAGCACACAAATGTTGTAGTTGTTATATTATTATTGGCAGGAGTAGCATCCACTTCCTAAATAACATGCCTCCAGAAACCCTATGCACTTTGATAAATATCGATAGTTGTAGAGAGGCTTCAAGGCCTATTGTTCATAGGGTTGCTGTGAGCTGTGCTCGACTCGAAGGCAATCAGCAGCAATTATTATTATAGTTTCAAAGAGTTGTTAATATGCAAAATAGCATGTGCTAAGTACTGGATGAACAGGATGTTTGAAAATAAGTCAGCCAGGTCCTTGCCAGCAGTGGCAAAAGGGGCTTGGAACTAGAAATTCAAAGGAACTTCAAACCAACCAACCAACCAACCAATCATAATACCATCTCAGTTATTCAGCTCTTTTTGGTCCTAGTTCCTTGTCAGAAATTTATTGCTATCACAATAAATTGCAGTATTAACTACTTATACTATATTTGCTCTTTTTAGGGAGGGTTAGAGAATTTTATCCTTTGGATCTTGATGTCTTTTTTTTTTTTTTTAATGTAATTTGCATCTTCTTCTATAGCAGCAGTGGTGAATCTCGTTCTTCAGATGAGATTCTGTTCCCTAAATGTGCTTCATAGAAGAAACCTACTTGCTCTGTAGCCTCTGTTATATAGATATATCTGACCTAAGGAGTAGAAGTGATTTTCTTAAGGAGATAAAATGAAATTGAGTGAATTTAAGCGAGTATTAGAATGAAGGGAACTGGAAATGCTTCATAATCAGTTCTGTAAGTGTTTTAATAATCTGGAAGTAGATGGTGGTAATAGCCTTTGAATATCTATCATTGCATATATTTTATTTAGACTACTGTAGCAACTTTTTACTATTTGAATAGCCTTAGAATGTTACTGTGACTTTTGAAACACATATACAAAAGGCCATATCAAATTAAGTGGAATCATGTAACTCTTCCTTTGGTGTTTGTATGTGCTGCTTTTTCTATGCATTTAAGGTTTCAACTTGGATTTCTTCCTTTGGAAAAAAGTTCTTCGCTATAATATATGGACTTGTATGGAGCCTTTTCTGAGCACATATGTATATATGCTACCATACTCCAAATCACAGTGTATTGTCATAACTTGATCTTTTGTCTTACACCATACAAAAAGACTTGTGGAAGCAAATGCTTGAAAACTACTTATATGAGACCATTACACTTTTGTTATGCAATATTAAAATTAATTGAGCAAGAGTTCAAAGTATTTAACAGGTATATGAAAAGTAAGTCTAATTAATTTTCATATTTTATATAAAACTATTTTCTTTTATTTAAAACTTTAGAACTTTTAAAAACAATTTTATGCTATATAACATGCTTGAAATAGTTTAATGATTTTTGTAGTGTGTTATAAATTATTAGGGAAGATAAAGATATTCTCAGGGTTTGTGTATCGTGTTTTAAATACATATTGCATAAAATGTAAACATTTAACACTTAGATTTATTTATTTTACTTATTTATTTATTTTTCAGATTCATTGCTAAACATGGGTGCATTTTTGGATAAACCCAAAACTGAGAAACATAATGCTCACGGTGCTGGGAATGGTTTACGTTATGGCCTAAGCAGCATGCAAGGATGGAGAGTAGAAATGGAAGATGCACATACAGCTGTTGTAGGCATACCTCATGGCTTGGAAGACTGGTCATTTTTTGCAGTTTATGATGGTCATGCTGGATCCCGAGTGGCAAATTACTGCTCAACACATTTATTAGAACACATCACTAATAATGAAGACTTCAGGGCAGCTGGAAAATCAGGATCTCCTCTTGAACCTTCAGTAGAAAGTGTCAAGAATGGTATCAGAACTGGCTTTTTGAAAATTGATGAATACATGCGTAACTTTTCAGACCTCAGAAATGGGATGGACAGGAGTGGTTCAACTGCAGTGGGAGTTATGATTTCTCCTAAACATATTTACTTTATCAACTGTGGTGATTCACGTGCAGTGCTGTATAGGAATGGACAAGTCTGCTTTTCTACCCAGGATCACAAACCTTGCAATCCAAGGGAAAAAGAACGAATCCAGAATGCAGGAGGCAGTGTAATGATACAACGTGTTAATGGTTCATTAGCAGTATCTCGTGCTCTGGGAGACTATGATTACAAGTGTGTTGATGGCAAAGGCCCAACAGAACAGCTTGTTTCTCCAGAGCCTGAGGTTTATGAAATTTTAAGAGCAGAAGAGGATGAATTTATAATCTTGGCTTGTGATGGGATCTGGGATGTTATGAGTAATGAGGAGCTCTGTGAATTTGTTAAATCTAGGCTTGAGGTATCTGATGACCTGGAAAATGTGTGCAATTGGGTAGTGGACACTTGTTTACATAAGGTATGTAAATTTTTTTATCATTTAAATGACTTATTTTGAAAAGCATGGGTAAGTGAAAATAAGCAAACTTAGAATTTTGAGTTTAATTAGAAATGTTTTTTAGCAGCAGGCCAGAACTGACTCATAGTTGACCCCCTAGGAGGTTTTCAGAGACTGTGAACCACAATTGCCCATCTCTCTCCTTTGGATTGGCAGCTCAGCTCTACCCACTAGGTCGCTAGAGCTCCATTTAGATAGAAAAGATCTGTATACTTTAATACCTTTTCTTCACCAGAACTGACACCACTGTTTCTAGACCATCAGCAGTTTCCCAAGTCTTAGGACTTGAAATTAAGTTTAATGAATTTGCAGCATTTATTGTCAGTTTGGTTGTAGAATTGTGAGTTTTCATTTCAGTTCTTGAGCTGGAAATAGATTTCTTGTGCTTGCTAAGGAAGCAGCTGAATAAAATATGTGTATAATGGAATGCTGAATTTACGAAATGTTGAGTATATACTCCTTGCTATTGAGTCAGAACTGGCTCATGCATAACTGACCCTCTAGCAGGCTCTGGAGGCTGAGTCGTGTTGCTAACCTACAGACAGGCAGTTTGAGTCCATCAGCTGCTTGGTAGGATCCCATGCGATTTAGAGCCTCGGAAAACTCACTGGAGGGTCAGCTGAGGTGATCTAACTTGACAGAAATGAAAATGAGTGATTGGGTAGGAGATTGCTCTAAATTACCAAAAGTGGCACCTTTGGGTTAGCAACACAACCCGCAGCAAGCTGTGCCACAAGAGCTCCCTGGAAGTTGAATAGCCACTTAAAATGCTGGAAGATCTGTCAGGAGCCTAGGCTAAATGTAGTTTTATAATTTGGTTTTGAATCTCCAGGCAGCCAAGACAGAAAGCAAAATTAAAAATAGGAGTTGTATATTTGTCATTATTACATAAAAGAAGCTTTTCTCTAGCAGTATAATAAAAATGAAATTGCCTGTGACTCTTTAAAATATGACATCTTAAGTATTGTGAAACACTCCATTTTCTATGATTCCTAACTTGATACATTGTTAGAGGAAGAAAGTCAAGAAGTAACAGGAATATAGCAGTTCATTTCCATGTGCTTAAAATTTGTTAAAGTGCAGCTACTAACAGCACCTTCTACCTAGCCATTAATTAAAGTTTTAATTGAGTCCAGTGCCTCAAATATGCAAGCACAGATGCCCTTCACTATCAGAAAGTAGAATCCTATTTAGATTTCTGTTAGCAGAAACAAGTACTAATTATCGTAGGTAGTAGGTCTTTTGTAAAACCAAGCATTCAAAAACTGAGGCAAAAGAAACCAAGATAAAACTGACCTTTTGCCATATGAAATATGTCTGACTTACTTATATTCTGTTTCTCCATCAGGTAAGTTGCTTCAGATGCTTATAGGCAATGATGTTAGAAAGGTCTTTTGATCTCTGTAAATGCCCAAATTTTGATGAAATACATATTTCTCCTTGAATGACAAGAGAGAATCAGACTCAATTTAAAGGCTAGTGTTACCAGTGTACACCCCCCCCAAAAAACTTTTCCTGGTAGCTCTTCTGATTTTTTATTTTTTCATCAAATTTATTTTAAGTACTATACCCTTTTTACTTCTCAACATAAGTATGAAAGTACTGATGGCTGTTGTGATTCTAATTGTGTTACTGGAAATTTCTTTTTTCCTTGGACTCTATATGGAATGATTCTCACCTGTAATTCTTTGGGATGAAAACAGGCATGCATTTTTTCTGCCTCACCGCCAAATGGAAATAGCATTTTATCCTCTAAAACAATACATGTTTGTTAAGGGGGAAAAAATTTAAAGACACACTCCATTCAAGTCCATTTTGGATGTGTTAATGTAGCTCTTTCCAGTCTTTATCTGCCTGTAAATGTGAAATAGTGTTTTCTTTTTAATATAATATTTGCTATTATGTAACCAGGGTTTTGTTTTGTTTTGTTTTTGTTTTCATTTTTAAAGTGCATTTAACATTATTTTGTAATAAGATCTCCACAATATTTTTTTATTGCTCTCCATTAATTTTTGTGCTGAACCTATGAGTTTCAGTTTTGAGGGATGCAAGCTTCGATCATTTATTGGTAGTATTCTTAACTTTCCATCTGGTGGCCCTCTTTTGATTCCTATTCTATGTATTTTGTGTCCAGCCACCACCTGTCTTTCAGTGAAAGAGTGTCTTTTTGTTGTGATGCTTGATATGCTCAGCAGAGCTTCCAGACTAAGAAGAACTAGGCAAACTATTTCTAAAATCATCCAGTGAAAACATGGTCAGATCTACAACTAACTTGGCAGGTTTCTATATATTTGGAGGAAACTTATACCATCAGATTTGAAGCAATAGCGAGTACTCTGTTGGTTGTGTAATACAAAGTAAGAAGTTTTAGGAATTTTTATTCCACCTTCCTCAATGGTATTTAAATTATTCTGGTGTTAATATCTTCACTGAATAGCTTTTATCAATTTGACGTGATTAAATTTTTATTGTTAGAAGATGTCAGAAGAGTCTTTTAATCTCTGAAAGGAGGAAGGATTGTAACATGGACAAGAATCATTCCATTTTAGTATAAGTGGATTAGCACAGTTTCTAAGTAGAGTGAAATTCACACTAATTGAGAAACAGCTTAGTTAGCTGTTTTGTAGAGTGGAACTTTTCCATTCTGTTTTTTTTAAACACTAGGATTTTCTTGTTTTATATGTATAGTCTGATTTGATGAATTTGAGTTCAGGCTGAAAGATTGAATACAGATCTAAAAGTCAAAGATTGAGCCTAGTGATTAACAGGTAGCAGTGGCTCGGTATGTGTAGCTGTGGTAAGAGGAAGATCTACTGATAATCTTTGTTAAGGGATTAAATGAAATACTGATCTTTCTAAAACTTAACCAAGCCTCAGTAGTTTATATAGCATTGTACTTAGTTACTTTATGAAATCTTAGTAGGTTATACTAATCTTCATAATTATAATTACAATTGGGAGCTCTGGTAGCCTAGTGGTAAGTAGCTTCAATCGCAGAGTCGTGCTGTTTGAGTCCATCTGCTGCTCCACAGGAGAAGGATGGGACAGTCTCTTCTTATGCTATTCACTGCCTCTGAAGACCTGCTGGAGGGTAGCTGGGAGTTGATTCTGATGCTGTTGCACACACGACTACAGCTTGACCAAAATAATACAAGAATATAGTACATTTCATTCACATTTAAAAACCAGTTACCAACAAAACAAAAACAACCCAAAACCAGTTACTTATATGGAATATGTGCATCTTGTCATCTTGTTAGGTACTACATAACTTCTCAAACCTTGTAGTCATTGAACTTCACCATTATTTCTAATTTGATAGTGATTAAAAGTTTTTAGGAGTAGTAAACAAACAAAAACCCACCTAAGTGTTTGATTTTTTTTTGTAAAACCATTGCTCTAGGAAATTTTAAGTAACACGCCTACAGAAAAAGTAGTGTTTTTTATTTATTTACAATCTTGTGATGATAAAAGAAGTGTATAAACTGTTTCCTTTTTCATACAGCTAATTTAAGAGGATGTGTATTTTTAATTGTTATCTTGAACCTAATTGTGATTCTGTAGAACAATCTGCTGTCTTTAAAAATTACCACATCTAATTATATCTACTCTTCCAACTAAAGGTACATTGTTATTTGATGATGTATCCTAGGGACAATTTCAGATTGAACTCTTTTCCTCTCTAGTTTGGTGTACCTGCTAGAATATTGTGCTGATCTACATTTTTTCAACTATGTCAGATACAGTACAGTTGTAATGACATGCCTCTAATGCAGGTTAATTAAGTGGGGAAAATTTACACCTGTCTTTGGAAGGGTAAACTTTAGCCATTTTGGGAACATGACAATAATATTTGAGTTAGAAACTCTTTTTAGAAAGTTTGATAATGTCATATCTTAAACTTTGGAATGATGGTAGATAGTTACACAGATTCAGAAATACAGTCTACCCATACCTAGCAATCTGATTCTTCAGTTGTACTTAAAATTGTTCTTTGGAATTGATGTAACTAACTTTTGAGGAACTAACTTTTTTTTTGCTTAAAGTAATTAACTGTAGAAGTACACAGTAGAAAACTGATAATATACAGAGTATAATTTCTTCATTTTCCTTTAATATACAGGGAAGTCGAGATAACATGAGTATTGTGTTAGTTTGCTTTTCAAATGCCCCTAAGGTCTCAGATGAAGCGATGAAAAAAGATTCAGAATTGGATAAGCACTTGGAATCAAGGGTTGAAGGTAAGAAAGGTACTTTTATCAAATAATTCTTCGCTAATTTCTTCAGAAAAACTATTAACTATTCCCCAGTAGAGCCAGCAGCAGGCTTCCTGGTTTTTGACTCTTCTTGGACCAATGTATGGGAATTTACGAAAAAGGAGATGAGTGGGAGCAGAGGGGTGAGGATGGGCCAGGAGGAAGTCATAGGGTTGCACAGTTTGATGGGTGGAGGGAAGGGGGAAAGGAAATGGGAAAGATCAGTGAGGACTTGAAGAGACAGCGTAATGGTGTGCATATAGTTCAGTGGTAACCAATTTTATAAAGCACAGTGTAGGGGAATGATTGTAAGAAACACAGTATATACAAATTTTGTATGCAAATCAATATAAAATTAAATTTAAAAAATTATGCATAAAAGGAAGGCATAGCTGGTAAAACTAACAGACAATTTGAAAATAGTCTTAAAGTTTGTTTTTTGCTTTTACTTTTCTAATTGTATTCCTAGTAGTAACGAGGTGTTCTAGTAGGATTTGCCTCATCCAAACGGGAAAAAATTAAACTCATTGCCATCAAGTAAATTCTAACTCATAGGAACCCTATGAGACAAAGATCCCTTTGAGTATCTATTGTTTATTGTTCCTTTTCTATAAATAATAATAATGGCTTTCACTTTGCCAACACTGTGTAAGTGTCTTATGTCCCTGGCTCAATCACAGATGAATGAATATAACCCTTGTAGAACAGTTGATGCCAGTGAATGTATGTGCATGCTCCTAGCAATGCCTTTTATGTATCTGGAAAATTTGAGGCCCACCCTGCCTTCATGAGTAATGCAGATAGCAAGGTGTGTATGATACTTATCCTACACATACCTGATAGCCAAGTCCTGATTCTTAAGTACTGTTCTCTGCTAAATGAAAAATAATCAGCGCTGATGGAAGAAATGGTAAATTAAAAGGATTGCAACAAGGAAAATTTACAGTGAATTGCTGGTATATCATAAAGTAAATGATTCCTCATTTTTTTTTTAAAAAAAAACCTGATTAGTAAATTATAATTCTTTTGTGGAGAGATACTTTGAGATTTTATTAAACTGTTTTTTAAAAAAAATTTATAAAAACCCTGTTTTTAGAAGTGTTCAAAATTATATGAAATTAAGGCACAAAGGTAAACTTGAAGGAGCTCTCAAATCTGCTGAGCAAATCATTCAAGAAGCTAGACTTTATGAAGAATGTGGCATCAAGATTTTGTAGCTCAAATCATCAGTAATCTGTGTTTGAGATTATACAATCTTGATTATTGAAAGCAAGGACGACTTGAAAAGCTTGCTGCAGAAAATCAAAGAATACAGTCATCAATATGGATTTTATCTCCACATCAAGAAAACAAAAATCCTCACCAGCATACCAATAGGCATTATGATAGATGGACAATAGATTGAAATTGTTGATGATTTCACCTTACATGACTCTACAGTGGACACCCTTAGTACCAGCAGTCAGGAGATATCTGTATAAGCAAATAATCTTCAGGGATTTCTGAATACTTGATGATACTAAAGAGAAATGTCAGTCTGAAGGCTAACGTGTGCCTGATTCAGGCTATGATCTTTTCAAGCTCTTGCTATGCATCAGAGAGCTGGACAATGAGTAACAATGGTAGTTCTAGAAGAATTGGTGCGTTTGAATTGTGTTGCTGGAGAATGCTGAATATTCCGTGAACTGTCAAAAGAACAAACAGATCTTGGAAAAAAGTGGCAGCCAGAGTACAGAGGTTAGCTAAAGCTTCACCCATACTTTGGGCATATTGTGAGGAGAGGCTATTCCTTTGAAAGGTATATCATATGTGGAAAGGTGGTGAATCAGTGAAAGAGATGATGACCCTCAATGAATGGATTGACACAGAAATGGTGAGGATGGAACAAGATAGGACAGGAATCTGGTCTGTTCCTGGGGTCGGTTTGAGTTGTATTAACCTTGACAGCACCTAACAACAACATGATGCCAGTAGTAACTGATATGGGCAGAAAGGATGCTAAACTGGCAGGTGAAAATTAAATGATAAAGAGTTTATTAATGTAGTCTCAAAGTATCTCTCCACAAAATGATTAATTATCACATACTCGCTGGTTAACTTTTTATTTAATGTATATTAAGTCTCTTTATTTGAGAAATCGTATATATCGGTGAATATGGCTGGTTAACTTTTAGAAAATTTACACAGCACATTAGTTAACCCATGACCCTCCCATTGGTTACAATTTTTACAGTATATCAGCTTTCTCATTTCTGTTCTGTTCTGTTTCCATTGGTCTGTCTTACTCCTTGCCTTTTCATCTTTACTATGTAAATGTTGACTGTTTTGGCTCCTGTAGTTAATTGTTGATGCAAGCACATTTTTTTATAAACTGGTCTGTTATTTGAAAGGTGTTCAACAAATAACTTTAAATCCAAGTTCAGTTTGTCTTAGGGTGATAATACTCAGAGGTTCAGGGAACTAAATTGTCTGTGAAAGAACCTAAAAAGTATTTTAACCAAGTGATGAAAACTATTATTTCTGCTTATGGGACAGGCATCTATTATAAATGACCTCTGGTGGCCTAGGGGTAAGAAACTCTGCTGCATTTCCAAAGGCATGCAGTTCATACCCACTATTTGCTCTGTGGGAGCAGCATAGATAATCTCCTTCTGTGCTATTAACTGCTTCTAAAAAAAACCCCTGGAGTGTCAGCTGTGGGTCAGTTCTGACTGAACTGTTTACAGAAACAGTGCAGCAATATGTAGTGAAAGTTAATATTCACTCTATGGGACAGATGACTATTACATACCTCCTAATATGTGTTCATTTCAGGAAGAGGCTGGGCAGTATCCTCCCCCCATACAGTTTGTAGCCTCTGAAAATCCACTGAAGGGTCAGTTATGGGCTATTTCCAATTTGAAGGCACACAGCAGTAGCAGTATGCATTGAGTCACTGTGAATAAGCCGAATCTTACTGAGCAGCAGCAGCTAACCCAAATTAAGAGACATTATGAAGAAGTACACTTTATAATTTTTTTTTCTGACCTGTACTCTGAAAAATGTCAAAGTTAATAAAGACTACCAAAAAAGACCATGGATCTGTTTAAAATGAAAGGAAACTAAAAAGATGTAATAGCTAAATGTAGTACATGATCGTGAATGGATCCTTGCCCTAGAAAAGTCACTTACTGAGACACTTTAGATGAGATCTGTGGATTACATCGTAATATTGTACCAGTATAATTTTGATGAACACATGTAGACACTATACTAGTTGTATTAAGAGATACTGGAACATCATTATCTGCAGCTTACTTTCTCAGTGGATTCTGTAAAAACCCAATATTACAAAAACTGTATGTTATAGAAAGCATTATCAAAAAAATGAAATGAGGTATAATGTATAAATAGGAACCTAGATTAAAAAGGTACCAGAGACATGGAAGGTCTTTGGGATATTTTTGCAATTTTCCTTTCAGTTTGACATTAATTGCAAAATAAAGTTTTATAAAAAGTGAAATCAATAACATTATTGCTAACTTTTGATAAGATAAAAAGCATATAGTAATAATTTACAACAGTTAAATTGAGAAGAGAGAAGTAATGAAAATGAAACTGTAACTTTGCATTTCTGATGCTTCTGAGGGAAATTGAAGGAGCCCTCCTGGTGCACTGGTTAAATGCTCAGCTGCTGACAGGCCAGCGATTCAGACTGACCAGCCCCTCCCCAGGAGAAGGATGCTTCCCTTTACAGTTTTAGAAACACTGGGTTCTGTTTTCTTTTTGGGTTGCCGTATATGGGGGAGAGGCTGAATATTTAGAGGAAGACCATTGTAGGCAAAAGAGCAAAGACTCAGAGAATGTCTTTAGCAAGTACCAAAGTGGGAAAAGCGAGAATTTGCTAGGAAGCAGATCATAAACGTTTCTGTAGGTCAAAATAAAGACAACTCGATTCAAATTATCACAGAAACTTATTAGAAGATTTTGACCATAAGACTAACTTAATTTGACTTTTTTCTGAATGCACTCTCAGTTACTTAGTGGAGAAAAGACTGTAAAGAAGGGATAGAAGACTAGTCAAAGAGACAATTAGGAATCTTAATTTAATGGAGGTGGTAAATCATGGTGGGGAATTGTACTATAGTGAAAAAAAAGGATGGGAAATGGAAATCCCTCAAATGCTGGAAACCTGTACTGGTTTTGCCCCCTCTCCCCTCAGGGAAAATATTGAGTAAATCATCAAAACCAATGAAAGAAATTTTTAATTTTATTTCATTTCTTTTCCTTATAACACAATGAATATATATCTGCAAGTTTAAATATATATATAAACTTTTAAAATTAAGTTTAATGAGTTTACAGAGACTTAGGGTTTCCATTCATTCATTGTTTCCCTTTTCTCCCTGCCCACCCCTCCTCCCAGTATACTCTTCTCTTTTAAAAGTAAAAGAAAAATTTTTTAATTGTTATATAATCCTTCTTCCCAAGTCCACTCCACTGTGCACCCTTAATTCTGGATTCCTGTCATGAAAATAGTACCTAATCATGTATCACTTTTAAACAGTTCTCTTCTGCTTCAATGCAGTGTACATTATTCATCCCCTCTTTCTCAGTTTTTATATTTTTCCTTAAAATTTACATCAGAAGTGTGTTTTCTGTGTAGCTGATCTATCTTCATAGGGATTATTTTTAATGGTTACAAACCATTTTACTCAGTGCCTATAACAAACATTTTCGTAACTCCCTATTTTGGGACAGTTCTGTTTTTGTAAATAATGCTGAAATGAATTTATGTATATGTATTATTTTTCTTACTTCTTGAATGATTATGGTAATGTTTCTTTTTATATTTTAAAATAAAGCACTATTAACTTGTACCAATATTTTTTTTTACTTCTTTGTGTTTACTGCGTTATCACATTAATTTGTCTTTTGGATTTTTTTAACCTACAGAGATTATGGAGAAATGTGGTGAAGAAGGAATGCCCGATCTTGCCCATGTCATGCGCATCTTATCTGCAGAAAATATCCCAAATTTACCTCCTGGGGGAGGTCTTGCTGGCAAGTGAGTAGAACAAAAGAGCTAATTTTTTTAGTTCATTGATTCTCTAAAAACAAAATAGACTGATGCTTTTTATGCTAACAAAGAACAAAAAGCATCATCCTGAAAAACATTTTTAAGAATTATATACTGTACCCTTTGATAAAAGCTGAAGATCTCTTTTCCTTGTTAAACGAGAAGAAAATATATTTTACAAGCTCACCTATTTAGTGAAACCTAGAGACTGAGTTCCTGTGCAGACATTTATTTACTGTAGTAAATTTTTTATTGTAGTCAAGATGAATTATTATTTAAAGTACTTAAAAAGAGTTTTAAAAATTCCAGCAACCTCAGAGATACTGTGAATTTAGTTCTATATCACCACAATAAAGTATGTATTCCAATAAACAAATCATAGGAAATTTTTGTTTTCCATTGCATCTAAGTTCTGTTTATCTATTCTATATTTCGTGTATAATAACATCGGAAAGTTTGAAATATTGTGAGAAAATTGCTAAATTGTGACACAGATAAGCAAAGAATGCATCTAGTTGGAAAAATGTTACTTTGTTCAGCACAGGGTCATCATAAACTTTCATTTTTTGGAGTAGAAAAATAATAATACACAACAATATCTGCAAAGCACAGTAAAATGGATACTTGTATATGTGTTTTATTAAAGCTGAAATGTTGTTCTTTGGCTTTTAGACGCAATGTTATTGAAGCTGTTTATAGTAGACTGAATCCACACAGGGAAAATGATGGGGTAAGTTTTCTTTTCAAAGCACTTTAAATACTTTAAAATGTTAGTACTAAGTTTAGATAACCTCATATAAGGAAATCTAATTTTTACTTTTTAATTTGTTATATTTTAAGGAATTGTTTTTAAAAGGTAGCATCTTGTGACTTCATTTTCATTATACTTATTTCAACCTTGTATATCGTCTTTTCCTTTTCCTTCTCAGTTATCATTTTAAGATAAGAATGTGCTTTCAGATATTTCAATTTCTCCTCCAGTAGACTGGCACTGTCAGCAAAAGTTAGAGATAGTGAATGCATTGCAATTTTAAAGACTAGATTTTTCACTATCCTGTGTGTCCTATCTAAGGCTAATTTCTTTCTAGTAATACTGTGATTGAAACATTTTCTGAAAGGATTGTGTAATATGTGAGTATAGAGTAGAGAGAAACAACTTGAGCAGAGAGTAAAGCCATTTTATCCCTTTATGTTCTATGCTTAAAAATAGTGATGTGCTACCCCGAAATAGACAATAGTGCCTTTTTTTTTATTTAAAGAAGTGATTCTGAGTCTCTTTTGAGATAAATACCTTACAATATAATTATATACAAGGCTCTGAAAATTAATTAAATATTATATGATGTATTTAGAGCATCCTACATCAAGAAGTGGATATTGGTATGACTCAAAAGTAGATAGTTAGGGAACTCTGGTGGCCTAGTGGCAAGAAGCTGCGCTTTAATCCTGAAGGCTCAGGGTTCTAATCCACCCGATGCTCCACTGGGTCAGGAGGGGCAGTCTCCTCCTGTGCCAGTTGGATCAGATTCAACAACACACAACAAAATTTTAAAAAAAGAAAAGTAAACAGTAATTTAGTAGACAGAGTGAAGAAAAATTTGCCTCTTTAACTAGATGAGTTCCTTATAGCTCACAGCATCATAGATGGCGGAAGTTACTTATTTGTTAGTAGTTGTAGCACTTATTTCCTCATGTATTGCAAAATGCAGCTCTCTATTTCATTACACCTTACCAGATTTCTTAGTTTCTCAGTACATTGGGTTGCTTTTACTCCAAGTGTAAGATTTTGAAATTTTGTGATAACCTTAAATTTCTGTTTAACATGTACCTGTAATAACTTTTAAAACTTTTTTACAAAATAGAAAAGAATTACACTTAGTAGCTATGTAGACAGTGTACTAGTAGATAATAGCACTATGAAAATGAGGGGAAATAAAATATAAACCTAATCTAAATATGATTATTATACAACTGTATTTTAAAAAAAAAAGCACTGGTGGCTTACTGGCAAGAAGCTGTACTGTAGCCCCAAAGACACACTGACACTCTCCACCAGCTGCTCTGTGGGAGAAGGATGGTCAGTCTCCTCCTGTGCGATTAACTGCCTCTCAGAACCTGCAGGAGGATCAGCTATAGGTCGGTTCCGACTCTATGGGACTCAACAACAAATTGAGGATGTATGTACTTATCTTTATATGTATGCTTTCTATCGTATCAGCCGATCAGACACTGTCATGTAATAAATTGACGCAGGCAAGAGACCATAAAACCTAAGACTTGGTCCTGTCATTATTTTTACTGCAGTTTACATTTTGTAAACACAAGTTAAACAAAAGTGCTTCCCATAGTTTTGAACAGAATAAATGAAATGACAGAATACCTTATTACTAGATGCCGTCAAATCTGCTCTGACTCATAATAGGCCTTATACAGCCTTGTCCGATCCTGCCCCTCCTCACAGGATCTGCTGCGCTTCAGCTTAGCCTTTGTTGCAGTCCTTGGTCAAGCCATCTCATTGAGGCCTTTTCTCCCCTTCTCTGGCTCTCCACCTTTCTACCCATCATGTCTGCTTCCAAAAACTGGTCCCTACAGATTATACATGCAAAATATGTGAGACCAAGTCTTAGCCTTTCTTCTAAGGAGCTCTTTGGCTACATTTCTTCTAAGACAAATTTGTTTATACTTTTGGTATAGTATCCTTTCTACTCCCGCCCACACGATTCAACATGGTATATTCAGTCCCCTTTACTGACATCACAGTTGAAAAACATCAGTTCTTCTTTGGTCTTCAGTACTCATTGCTCAACTTTTTCAAACATATTAAGTAATTGAAAATACCATGGCTAGGGTCAGAATTCACTAGCTGCTCCATGAGAGAAAGATTGACATTCTCCTCCCGTGTGATTTATTGCCTCTGAATACCTGCTGGAGGGTCAGCTATGAGTTGGTTCCTACTTGACAGTGTATAACAACAACAGCGCTTATTCTTAAAAAGCACCTAAAAGAGGTCCTTGACAATATAGATTTGCTTCTGGTGGCCTAGTGGTATGGACTGAGCTATCCCTAAGGCATATGGTTCACATCAAAGAGCTGCTCCCATGTTATTTACTGTCTCTGAAAACTTGGAGGGTCAGATATGGGTCAGTTCTGATTTGGTGGCACACAAAAACAACAACCACTATCATGGGTGGCATTGATTGTATATCCAAGTAAAATGAAATTCTTGGCAGTCTTTCTTCATATTCAGATATAATTCACTTTGAAGGCTGTCTTCGATCAAATCTTGACAAACTAGAGAATGCGGCAACAGTAATCACTGTAAAATACACACAGGGGGAAGTCTAGGGGATATTTTCAGAGGAAAGATGGGAATTTAATGCTTTGAAAATACAGTAAAGTAAGAAAATGACATTTAAAGTGAGTAAGAGGAGGTAGAAAAGTATAAGATGTATTGAAAGAAAGACATCATTTTGAGTAGAGAAAAAGAATTTCGATCACAGATTTGTGAGGAGACGAAGAAAAGATCTTTTGAACTTTAAAGAAGGAACGTTTTACGTTCTAGAATTACAGCATTAACTGTTGCATTTGCATTTTAGCATATTTAAAGTGTGCAGTATTAGAAAAATGCTGGAGGTCAATTAGTTGTAAAATATTGATATCAGATGGCACATGTAAGCTTATTAGTAGAAGTAGGTTTGCATAGAGACACCACCCCATTTATTGTTTTTTGTTTTATTTAAATTTATTATTTCAGTAAAAATTTACAGAGACTTTTGGATTTCCATTCATTCATTGTTGCACTTTTCTCCCCTCCCAACCGTCCGCCCTAGTACACTACCCTCTTGGAAATGTAAAAGACAAATTCTTTGTTTTACATACATGTTCTAGACTCCTGTCATGACAAAAATACCTGATCACATATCCCTTTTAAACAGTTTTCTCCCTCATCTGTTATAATGCACTATACATTATTGAACCCATCTTTTTCAGTCTCTTTCCAACCCCAAGGTCAGTCCTGTTTTACAACAGTGGCACCATGCAGTATTTGTCCTTTTGTGACTAAGATATTTCACTCAGCATAATGTCCTCCAGGGTCACCCATTTTGAATAATACTGCATGAGTTCCTTGTTTTTCAATGCAGCATAGTATTCCATTGTG